AAACCAGGAGAATCCTGGTCAAATCAGGAGGTTTGGCAAGCCTGATTCAACATGATCCTTTTTCTTTCTTTTTTTTGATTTTGTAATAAATCTTTGATTTTAGTGAAGAAGAATGTGATGAAGAGAAAGGAGAGAATTGGTGAAAACCTGCATTAATCATCGGACGTGTTTTAACTGAAAATAAGATATCAACTATCTTCGTCAATAAATGATTGACGTCAATGAATAAGTCATAATTAGTTTGATGTCTTTTTTTATTTGACTCTATTAAGTAATCTGCTTTGTCAGGACTCACTTTTAATCACGTTCTTTATTTCTCTATACGCAATAAGTATTTTTGTATCAGATATATAAAAAAAGCAGAATTGTTCATCGTGATACAATGTACTTTTATAAGAGCCATGAAAAAGATGCATGAATTCAACTCTAAATTGAATATTTACAACGACAACACTCTGATAATGGACAAGTCTTATGAATTAGTAGGAAAAATTATATTCAAACATAATCAGAGTCGTGAAACTCAGAGCAATGATCTAATATTCTTTACAATATGGTAGCTACTAGTTTTCAAGCACAATGGACATGTTTGATTCAAATTGATTTTAAGAGTATGCGTGTGGATGAAAGATGATTTGTACTTTCCACATCTTTGCTCATGCGTACATACTTACACCCTTCATAGAGCGTGAGTGGGTATGGTTGTCTTATATCCTCACTCATACCCAAACCCACACCCTCTGTATGTTCTTTTCAGCGAAAAAAAAGCATAGATATTATCTTGTATGGGTGTGTAGCGAATGTAACACCCACACTCTCAAGAAAAATAGATAGATACGAAAAAAAATGTTACGGAAGATTTCCATTTCCTACACATTCATACCAGTCTGGATCAACGTCGCACGTATCTTGCGCTAGATTAGCAATGCGCATCATATCATTGTCGTTAATTGTAAATGGATTTGCAAAAATATCAAGATTTTCTTTCATATGTGTTTCATTCATTGAGCGTGGATTCGATGCAACTCCCAGCTGATGCATCCAACGTAATATAATCTGTGCTTCAGTTCGATTATAAAATTTGGCTATGGAACTAATGACTGGATCTTGAAGCAATGTAGGAGACATACCTGTTAATGTTTTGTTTTGATATGTAACGGGATATGGATGCACATCTGGTACTCCTAACGGTGAATAGGCTACTAATTGAATATGATTATTTTGACAAAATTCCTGTAAATCTGCTCGTCCGGTTCTATAATTATATGGATTAAATGAAACTTGATTGACGCTTGGTAACGGTAGATTAGCATCAATCATTTCTTGCAAATGTGTGATATTATAATTTGATACACCAATAGATCGAACTATTCCAAGTTCAAATAATAATATCATGGCAGACCATGTCGATAGACGACAATCTTTTTCATTGTACGTCAGTGGACTAGTAGTATTACATGCTGGATCAGAACTTTTTGGTACATCCGATTGACCGGGATGTTTCATGGTTGGCCAATGTACGAGTAATAGATCGATCCAAGTTGTTTGAAGTTCTTGTAGAATATCCAACGTTTGATTGATCGTTTCATTGTAGCCTAAAGGAAAAGTTGGTCCAACTTTGCTTAAAATAAAAACTTCCGATCGATCGATGAGACTTTGATGAATTCCTTGCGCAACGAAACGCTGATTGTAATACGAATTAGCACAGTCGAGTCGAAGTCCACCCGCTTTAGTCAACCATGTGTATACTGCTTTCTGTGTATTAGGACCACATCCAGGTGGTTCTGCGCCACATTCAGGATAAGTGCTATAAGGCACGTTTTGTTCACCATAGAAACCAGTACCAAGACCGAGAGCTGGCATATGAAGACCAGTTTCAGCCGAATTAAATAATGGAAATGAATGAACATTAGTAAATAGAGATGGCGTAGCTGTAGAGGTACGAAGTGCGAGCGTTAAAACGCAGGCAAAGAGAAAAAACAAAAGAGACTGTTTCATGATAATATAATAGTGCAACTGAAAGCCCAAAAGAGAAAATTTTCATTCCTGCGCACAAACACTTTTTATCTTATGTTGATATTTGCACATCAGCTCACCTAACAAATATCAACAACAACGACATGCCGTTATCATCTTCTGGCTAAGATTCTTCTACTTTTCAAGCAAAAAAAAGAAAAAAAGTAATATCAATCTGTAATCAGTACAATACACTAACAGATTGCATAGAAACTTTTCAGAACCATTCTAGAATGTTCATCATTCACTTTTTCATGGTTTAATAGTTCAGGATTAATTTCAATTAGAGGAGCAAATTTCTCCAATCGCAATATGTCCAATGCTTTATCGTGTTTCTGACTCATATCTCCATATTCCATGCCAATTGCTCTATAAAATCCTTGAATAAGTTGGTTACCATCAGTCATATTTCTATAACTATCGTACAGTTCATCGATCAGCGACATCGACATACGTTCATATAAGAGATGGTTTGAATTATTTGTTTTACAACTGCTACGGGCTAGTTGGTATCTTGTCACTATAGAATTCACCCATTGATCTTTCTGAGCATTATACCATTTATGTCGATCCATATATAAAGTTTCTTGCAATTTGTCTGTTGCACGGTTCACTCTTATTACTCTGACGGAAGTAATGTTTGGATTCTCCATTACAATTTGTAATTCATTTTCACGAAAGAATGAATCTATGTCTGTATCATCGACATTGAGACTAATTTCACCAGTAGCACATGCAGCAAAACCCAAAATATACGTAGGTGTAACTTCTTTTTTGATGCTGTAAGGAATACTCATATCATCCCACATTGGATTTAGAACTGGTAATCCTGCTTCAGTCATGGCTACTGTATGATAAAGTTCTTCACATGTATAATTCTTTTCTACTAGCCAACGTTCAGCAATAATTCTGCCTAATCCATAACCAAGAGGATGCGAAGGAATATAACCACCAGACCATAGTACTGTTTTATCTGGTGGAGCACTAATTTTACCAGATGCTAACGATTTTTTTGCAAATTCAATAGTATATAATTTAGCTTTCTCTTCCGTAGTATAATGACGTGGATAGATATTTGTAAGGCTGAGAGCAAAGCGTGTTTTCTTAAATACATCAGAGAGCTGGTCCGGAGTCATCGTCGAATAATCATAAGGTCTATGATTATAACCACTGAAATGTAGCCCACTACGTTTTACAGTAACATGATGTTGAATCAATGACTTCGCCATTATACTGGCATTGGAGCGAATAGCTGGAATTGTTATTGATTCATAATGTGCACCACTTACAATTGGGCCTAATGCATAAAGTCGTAACGATGGTTCACCTTTAGCATTAATGAGTCTAAAGTCATTATCAACATCGAATCCTCCTCTATGGTGCATTCTTGCCAAACCACTAGTAATAAGTTCTTTAGCACACACCGGCATTTGTTCCAAATATTTTGATGGACCAGTATTATTAACAAGTTTTTTTGTATGTACAGTTCTAAAAGATCCATCCTGATTTTTGATAGTCAACTTGAAACCGGTATCTGTAGTAATTTCAATATTGTGCAGTCCGCCAATAATTTCAAGTCTTCCTTCGCTTCGTAATTTGTTCACCCGTTCCCATTGTTCATTGGGTATTCTATATCTGGCATTACCCCATAATGCTCCGTATTTTTGTGTGAAAGTTTTCTGTTCAACCTCGTTCATTGCTCTCCACAGTTTATTCGTGTCACAGATCATTGAATCTACTACATCACGCCAATCCGCTCCAGCTGTACGGGCAATTTTCATCTCCTTCTTGAATAGCTCATTTAAATAATCAGCCGTTATATTAGTTATTTCCTTTATTTCTTCTTCAATCTTTTCAATTGTACATATACTTCTGATGTATGGCTTGGATTGATCAGCTACATGTGGAACATTACCATCTCTTGATACCAGTAGAAATTTTCCATTATAACCATTATCTATAGCCCAAAGAGAGGAAAAACATGCACCATTGCCTGTACCGATGATTACAGTAAAATCTGTTTCATTTACATTTTCTCGAGTGAAGGCATGATCATCAAGGTTATAATAACCACTTCTACCGCTTAGTTCTTTACCATATGCATCTATAAGTGGTTTTGGATTGGCATTTCCTAACGCATATATAACAGCATCAGTGGAAATTGTCTTTCCACTTCCTAAAGTAATTACAATTTTATTAGCAGCTGTATCGTTCGTAGTTTTAATTGCTCTGTCACGAATAAATTGAGTTTTTACCGGAGCTTTGCTTGACTCGAGATATTTTATGACTGCTGCTAGATGATCTCGAATATATTCACCAAACTGGATATGTGAAACACTAGCATTTGGATCAAAACCTTTCCCATTGGCATAAGTCACATCACGAAATATATTCTTCCATTTTTCTGGATCTTGATTGATATGTTCAATACAAGCCGTTGGTGATTGTATCCCTAGAATTCCTATTGAATTTGCCATAGAAGACTTTGTTGATGTCGGTCGATTATATGTACATCCACCAGGATTGCTGATAGAATCAATAATACTTATTTCTAGTGTATGATCGATAGGATTGGCATCAAGAAATTCATGAATTAGATACGTGGCCGACATAATTCCGCTTACACCTGCACCAACGATGACTATATGTGTAGAGTTAATACCTCTTTTAAATTCATGTTTTGTTTGAAATTTTTCTACCCGGTACGGTTTTTGTAACGGAATATCTTCTTTTTTGATTAAACTGTTATTTATATGGTGATATGTGCGAAAAGCCACGTCGTTAGCTAGAACGTGTATCTTTCCAGTAGAATGTTTGACAAATAAAGCACCATCATAGAATTTTTCTGATTCTCCAAATGGGTGGCACAATTCTCCAGCACCCTCGAGATAAATAGCTCGACAAATATGCGTTCCTTTCCGTTGTTTCCACCCGTATATACATCCAGATTTGTTTTCATATCCTTGAACATTCTCCATCATTACATTTATAAAAGCAACATTTGAAGGATAACGATTAGTAAGCCCTAAGCTTTCTGCATAAGCAAGAATTTCTTTAAGTTGTAACATTGTAATCTTTTCCGGATCACCATATCCATCAAATTTTGCTTGTAGTTGTATGGCTTCTTCTTGAAGTACTTCGTTTATAATTATGACATTACGATCAACACCTTGAAGTCCTGAAATAGCTGCTACCCATTGATCATTGACACTATTATAAACAGCGATACCAGTACCACTAATAATATCATTTCCACATTTTATAGGATCACCTTGATGAAATTCTTCACCCGATTTATACTTTCCATTTCTCGTAATTTGTACGGTTTCGCCCACTTCTGGTACACTTAGAATGAATTTCTTTGCTACAGAAATGACTGGAATTGATTTATCATTACTGAAATCGAGATCGTCGGCAAATATGATCGGTATGCCACTCTCTTCTTTGAAAAGTTGTCGATTTAATTCACTAGTTCGTTTTAAAGCTGCATCCAACGTTATATTAGTATCTTGTACTGATTCATATGATGGGAAATACTCACGATAAACGTCAGGAGAATATTCAAGCACATGATTTATTACATCGCAATCAGTTATTTCACATGTGAGATATTTTGCAATGATATTTATCTTTTCACCAGTCGTCTGAGCGTCGTTGAATACTTTCTGCCATATTTGTGGAAGTTGAACTTTGCCGCTTGCATAATTATTAATCATTGCAGCAACGAAATGTTCAAATGGAGCTGTCATAGTAAAAATATTTTCACGACAAAAACGAGCATATTTCTTGAATTCTTCATTGAGTGTTGAAGAGAATTCGACAGATACACTATCAAGATTTCGAATATCTTCAGCATGATGAATCAAATTGGAATCAATAGCTTTTTGAAGATTCGCTATTGTATTATTCAGTAGATCTTGCATTAAAGCTTCGCGAAAAGATACAGCAAATCTCTGATAGATGAATCCCATTATATCATTATCTTTGTAGATATTAGTTTTAAGTAAATTTGTATTTCCATCATATGAAACGGTGATTGTACATTCAGCTATAAATTCATCAACTGTTCTATCCAAAATATCCCAAGCAAATGGAAAGTTGTTCTTTATCATTTGTGATTTAAAACGTCCTATGCGAAATCCATCTTCAAGGTCAGTCACATTGAAAGACAAACGATCAGATTGAGCAGCTATTTGGCCTTCTATGTGATTAAAACTGTCGAATTTCATCACACCATTATATGCTCTATCAATATTTTTTACTATATCGGGAATTTCTTCCATATCATGATTATAAAAATTACATGGCTTTCTTTGATCATAACGCCAGAATCTTTTGATAATACCTTCAATAAAAGTCGGAGACAAATTTTGACTTTCGTTTCCATTTTCTGCCCAGTCGGTCATTAATCTTACACCGGCCGTATCATGATTCCAGTTTAAACCGTAAGGTTGCAAAGCTTTTTTTATTGCCAATTGGCCCCAATGTGCGAATGGAGGATGACCAATATCATGAACTAATCCGATATTACCTGCTAATAGTTGACTTTCTCTGCCCAATCTTAATCTCCTTGCTATTTCTTCGGCCGTATCTTTTACTTTTATAGAATGTGTTTCACGATTTGTAAGCCGTGGATCACTGTAATTTATTGCAAACTGATAAATACCCTTAAGTCTTTTCCATGGACGACTACGAAGAATATGATTCCGATCATTTTCAAACCTTGCTGCTACATTCTCTGCACCTTCCAGCAGAATTGATTCAGTTTGATATGAATTACTTCGTTTATTAAAGTCAAAATGCTGTCCTATATGAGAACCAGTAATTGAATTATCGACAGACATATTGAAATCTTCTTATTTATTAAATCGTTCAATACACTGTTATAAATCTAAATATGAAAAGCATTCATTATTGATGCATGATGTGAAGAGAAAGTAAGGTAACAGTTAAATAAATACAATTTTTTGCGTTGTATATGTAAAAAAAACCTTACCTACTAACGAATGTACGAAGAAAAGAACGAAAAATAAAAGTA